TTTCATGGAGAAAATCGAAAAACAAAAGGTGTCTTAAACTTTTGTCCACCACTTTAGTTATTAACAATCAAATGAGAACACGACATTAAAAAAAAACATCATCGTATAGCATTTGTTTTAATTTAGATGTATCATTGTATTATTTTTTGATAGGTATGATTAAAACAAAGATGCTTTTCTTTTCTTTTCTTTAAAGAATAGCTTCCTAAAACAAAAAAACGAAGGAAGGTTTTTGTTTTACAAGAATAAAGACGAAAGAAATAAAGAAAGAAAAAAAGTTTAATTTATTTTCTCTCTTATATTTTTGTTTTCATTTCTAGAATACTATCTATTTTATTCATTGTGAATTGTTTATGATAAAATGACAATAAATTAAAATAAATTGTTCTTTTCAAAGTGTACATACATTAGATAATTGGTTATCAATCTTCATGTTAGCAAGTCGTTGTACTATCCTTCTAGTTGTGTATTCAATTGTTTCTGTTCACGTATTTTATTATACTGCTAGATTACAAATTAAAAAAACTCCATCATCTATTATAAATATTGCATCTAGATTAATACCAATATCATCGTATAATCAATCGTCAGATAACCATCTAAACACTTCAAACTCAACAGAAGTAAGTCAATTACAATTAATATAAAATTTCTCTAGTGATTGAAAAATTTATTAACACACAGTTTCATTTGTTATCTATAAAACATGAAAAAAAGCCTCTACGAAAAATAGAATTATTTAGTATAAATAACACAAAAATGAATAATAGTAATAGATTTATTTTGTTATTTTAAGAAGACTAATCCTACTGTTGGTTTCAAATCAGCGAATATATTACATAATCTCACAATAAATAATTCAAATATCAATATAACATTTAATCTTACTACTATAATTCAAACAACAACTTTACCAACAATATTAATCTCATTTTTAAATGCATCATTTTATTCATCTTTTAATTTTACTACATCATCTTTAGATATTAATAATTCTCTACCGATTTGTAATTTTTCTATATCAAATAATAATACATCAATATATCAAGTAACTATAAATCAAACACTTTATTCATATGATATTATTGAAGAAAATCATGGTAAAGATTTATATCCAGGTGGACATTATATTCCAAAAGAATGTCGAACAGAACAACGTTTAGCTCTTATTATATGTTATCGTAATCGTGAACAACATTTAAAAATGTTTCTTAATAATATTCATCCATTTTTACAAAAACAAAAACTTGATTATACAATATTTGTTGTCAATCAACATGGAAATGATCCATTTAATCGTGCTGCTTTATTTAATGTTGGTTATTTAGAAGCTATGAAATTATATCAATATGATTGTTTTATTTTTCATGATGTTGATCTTTTACCAGAAGATTTAAGAAATATTTATAAATGTGGAGATCAACCAAGACATATGTATGTCTAGAGAAAAATATTTTGATTTATTCGCATAAGTTGACAACTTATTTTCCTATAGACTATTTTCATTTCTGCATCATCGAATATAATAAATCTTATTTCGTTACACTGAATAGGTGCCTTTCAGTTTTATTCAATTTCACTTATATACATCTTCGAAGGTCTATTCATTCATAGTTTCACATTAATTTAACATAATGAATACTGAAAAATAAGTAATGGTTACAATCTTTTGGCTAGAACACTTCTAATTTGTATTCCATTTGACTAATCTATATATATATATAATGTTGAGTGTCTGTCTGTCGGTATATCTGTACCGGATCAAAGGTCAAATAATTCTATAAGGGGAAGGGCCAAGGGGATTATACTGAAGTACCCATAGGCTCTCAAGGGCTATTATATGGGGAAACACGTAGGTCCTGAAAGGAGTAAGGCAATAAGGGGATAATGCTGCAAAAGCTACCAAGGATATAGGGCCGAAGACTAATGGCGTATAAAAATATGTACGATATAAGAATGTGATGCCGTAGGGCTATCTATCTGTATACATAATATCAAGTGTCTGTATGTCTGTTATTGAATGTTCAGTGTCTGTCTGTGCCGGGTCAAAGGTCGTATAAGGCTATAAGGAAGTACGGGTATAAGAGGTAAGCGTATAAGGGGTAAGGTACAAGCGAGTAAGGTAATATGGGTAAGGATATAAGGGAGAAAGCTATAAGGAAGTAAGCTACTAGGGATAAGGCTATTAGGGAGTAAGGCAATGAGGAGGAAGGCAGTAACGGAAGAAAGGCTATAGAGGGTTAGAACGATAAGGGGTAAGGCTATAGAAGGTTAGGGCTATAAGGGAGTTATGCTGTAGACGCGTAAGACTGTAGAGGTTAAGGCTATAAAGGGCTAAGGCTATAGAGGAATGAGTCTATGATACTGTAGGGCTTCTATGTACATCATGTCCAGTGTGTGTATGTCTGTTAACGAGTGAAAGGCTAAAGATTTGAGGTCATACGTTACAGGGAAAAATAACCGTGCAGTATGCACGGATTCTTACTAGTTTGATTTCCAAAACATTTCATTTCAATCGATTAGAGATGTGCAGGATCGTAAGAAAGAATAATTGTTGAAATTACAAGAAAAAGAATTCTCCTTATCGAAACTAAAGATTATAGTTAAATTATTCTATAGTCTTCAGTGATTTATCTCATAAATCATAACATAATTTAAGAGAGATGACTCGAAAAAAGTATCAGTCATCGACTGAATAAATCAAAAACAACACGACTATTGAAAGATTGTTTTAGATACGGAACAAAAATCTTTCAGCGCAATCTCTGCGAGATTAAAAATGTGAAACACGATGGAGTTTTTTATATTGTGAATGAAGGAGATTGGATTTTCTCTGTCACGGTCTGTGATGGTCTTTGGAGCCCCTCTCTCGCGGTTCGTGATAGGTACTGGATTTCTCTGTCACGGTCTGTGATGGTCTTTGGAGACCCTCTGTCACAGTCTGTGGTGGGTATGGATTTTCTCTGTTGTGGGGTGGTTGGGTTATGTATTTTCGGTGGGGGGGGGGGGGGGGGGGGGGGGGGGGTCCAAATTTTTACCCTATACACTTCAACATTCCTTTTAGATCGTGTTTCACAAAAAAATTCTCGGATAGTTTTCTCTAAACTTGAACCAAATAAAATTTACTGGGACCACTAGAAGCAAAGTTACTGGGACTACTACTGCCAATTTCAAAATAAAAGGCGAATGGGTATTTTTTGAATAACTTTTGATAGGAACAAGATAGAGAGCTGCGATTTTCACCGCTAGAAAGAGGCCTATCCAGCGCATCGATTCATATAAAATTGTTGAGATTTATTTCATAAATAAATAGTGATCTATGGTCATCTCGAAAGAGTAGACTATTGCTCTATGAAGATAGAACAAATTTTAAACTTTGAGAAGTGGATTAAAATCGGCAGCTGACGAGCTACAAAACTATATATGAGACTTGGTTCAAAGCTTTACTGTTTTGAGAGTTCTAGGTACTATATTCGACAATTCCAGTCCACTTTGCCAGCAATTTCTGTGAAAAAATTCATTTTTTGAGTTTTTTTTCCCGGGAAAATTAGACCTGTTTTTAAGGCATTTCTTTGTTCAACTATTGCAAAAGGTTTCAAAAGTCCAAGTTAAAAGGCATTGTCTTATATGATTCGGTGCGTTTTCGTCTGCTCTTTTCAACGGTGAAAACCGCAGCTCTCTATCTTGTTCCTATCAAAAGTTATTCAAAAAATATCCACCCGCCTTTTATTTTGAAACGGACAGTAGAAAAGAAGCTATTGAAAGTGGAACCAAAACTCTTGTTCTCGCACATCTCTAATTTTCTCTTTGTTAAACTTGCAAGTTAATTACCCAAGATATTATTTAACATTCACCTCAACCTATTTCTAATCCTTTTAATTTTTCTTTTTCATGCTCATTTTATATTAATATTTTTCTATATAACATAAATTTATTCTTTTCGAATAGAAACTGGATTTATTTTTTTAGGTCTGTAGCTATTGATATATTTAAGTATGCTATACCTTATTCAGATATCTTTGGTGGTGTAACAGCATTTCATTCATCAGATATTCTTGGTATAAATGGTCATCCAACAGTTTATTGGGGATGGGGTGGTGAAGATGATGATATGTATTTCCGTGTTGTTAAAAAATTAAAAAAATCAATAATACGTTATCCAATTGAAATAGCTCGTTATAAAATGATTCGTACACATGGTCATATAGCTGCTGAATTAAATCCACATCGTTTTACAATATTAAATTCAAAATATGATTATAATCTTGATGGTATAAATACAACATATTATACATTACATAATATAGTTTTTTATAAATTATTTACATTGATTAATGTAACATTACCTGAAGAATCATTCGAACATATTCGTACACGTTTACATATAAAAAATAAAAATTAGTGTTATTATTTTATATTTTGAAAATAAGCTTATCTCATTATATTATTTGTGATGATATTATTAACAATGGATTGATTAGTTTTTTTGTTTTCCAGCTAATTTTAACAAGAGAAAAAATAGTATATATTCTGCAAAGAGTAAATAGCGAAGATATGGAATCTTGAACTACGGATTCTTTAGATTTCGGCAGAATTTTGTAACGTATCATCGGGAATTTCAGGATTTCGCTATTTATCCCTTGATTTTTCTTGAAATAATCTTACAAGGAGACTGCTCGAAGTGTTAAATCGCTTCTGAACCAAAATCATATTCATTTCATGAGTTATAGAAGAGTTTAGAATACTTTGATTTATCAAGCCTTTATTCTTGATATATCGAAATTTTAGTAGGTTACCTGTGATTCTTCTCAGATCAAGTGCAAAATCAACTTTAGCCTTCAAACTTTTCTAATATCTCTTATCCTAAGATATCCAATATTCAAAATTTTCTTATGTGTAAAAGTAAATTTTGTTGATATAGTTACATCTTCACAAAGGAAATACTAGTTGCATAATCAACTAATCTCATCTAGAACTTTGTTTGTGCAAAATTTGAAGTCGAAAGTTGATTTTTCATGTGACTTGACGAGAACTACAGCTAACTCAGTGAAATTTCGATATCTCAGGGATGAAGATCTGAAAAAGTAAAATCATTCTAGACTTTTTCTATTACTCTTTAGTATTCATCAAACGAACATCGTCTCGTTCGAAAAGCTATGTGACATTTGGAGAGATTCCGACGTCAGTACTAAATTATTACAGATGAGAGTTTTGAATAGGTTTTTTTTATTGAATGTAGAAGCCTGTGCAAAGATCAGGTTGATCTTCCCATAATTTGTGTTGATTATACTATGTGTAATGTACTATCAAAGATAGATGTTCACCCTTTCGAATGAGAAAATCTGAGTAAAATACTGATTCTGATCACTTGCTCTGGTGATATTATACGGTATTAATTGAAATCTTAAGAAGATCTCTAATGATCGCGACTAATTCAAACTGATTGATTTCCCACCGAGAGAACATCTCCAATTAATATGAATAGATTCTTCAGTAAACGATTTATTTAGACTTTGAAGATGATCTTTGAAAATATCATTTTTATTGAATTGGACAAAGTATCAGAAAAATTTATCATTTGCAACATGAATTACTTGAGATATTCCGAACAGGAGTTTCAAAATAATATCTACAACACAAAGATCAAATGAAATCATTAATTTAACTCTTCAAATCATTATACGAAGCAAATGTTTTCGGAAGAAAATATAAATTTTAAACGAAAAGTCGAAATCGGTGTCATTCATTTGTATCAAAACTAATTTAAAAATTATAAGAGTATTGTCTAAAAAATAGATTTAAAATGCATTCATGATTGATGCCTCATGAAAAAATAAGTGCATGTCGTGTACAGTTTCGATAGTATGATGGCATGGTAAATATCAGAAAGATTTTTCTGAAAATCCGTTTGTTGCTCAGCGTCTAATATGATGATGACAAGAATCGATAGCAGATCGATCGAGAAAGAAGTAGATGATGCTGATTACATTCAAAATCTGCATGGTCGATAGAAAATGAACTGTTAGTACCAAGTTTGCTGTTCTTGAATTTTATGAAATAATTGCGATGTGCAGAATTGCTATTCATTTTGCAAAATGAAAACAGAAGTCGAAATAGAGAGAAAGCGATTTTATAATAAGTTTGTTTATTTCTTTTTTCGTTCAAGGTTCAAACAGTCATTAACAGCTACTTTCTACTAGATGGACACTGCTTTAAATATAAATTAAATGGTTATACATCGAGCAAGAAGAGAGATACGATCGATCAGTATAGTGATGGACCATTTCACAGCTAAATTATTTTGAGGATTGGGCGGAGTTGAGCAATTAAAAATCAATTTGGCTACAGGTTCTTTTTTTAAAAACTTATTGCTATCCAAAAAAGCTGATGTTTATAGAAGAGAAAGTCGTTACTTTCAACTAAGAAGCGAGCTTGTTCGCTTTTCTTCGTACTGCTTCATATATTTGAATATCTTATGTCAACAAGCATGAATAATCACAAGTAGAACCATTAGAAAATTTAAGTTGAATAACGAGTATGTTGACAAAAAAATACTGTTAAAAGAGATACGATATATTAAAATGACACTACTTAGGTCTTTGTACACCTTTATGTGTGTCAAGATTTTTTTGATATTAAACTATGGCTGTACGCCACTGCATAGTATACTTTGTTGATAGTCCACTAAAAATCAAAAACAGCATTGATTTTAGTTGAATCACCGAAGAAGAAAACAATATGGGGTGTGGGGTGCGTGTGGGTGTGGGTGTGTGGGTGTGGGTGTGGGTGTTGGTGTGGATGTGGGTGTGGGTGTGGGTGTGAGTGGGTGTGGGGTGTGGGTGTGGGTGTGGGTGTGAGGGTGTGGGTGTGGGTGTGGGTGTGGGTGTGGGTGTGGGTGTGGATGCAGACAAAGAGAAAACCAACGCCCACACCCCACACCCCACCCCACCCACCCACCCGCACCCACACCCACCCACACCCACCCACACCCACCCACACCCACACCCACACCCACCCACACCCACAACCACCCTCTTTGATCATCTTTAATGTTTTCAAGTTTTCTTCATAATAGTCTTTTGTTGTATCGGTATTTTCTTTTTCTCATATGCGACCGATTATTTTGTAGAAATGAATGTTGTTTCAAAAATAATAAAAATGAGAGTTGAAAATAAAGAAAAAATTTACCTGATATCGATGATAACTGTCTATGATTGTATTAAGGCCCACCCCCCACGCAAAATTTTATTTTTGCCATAGAACATCGAATCCTAACGAAATTTTCAAAGTAGATGCATCTTGGGCTGGGCACCTTGTGATACAAATTTCAGCCTGAAATCTTAAGGATTCCAGGAGATAGCTTAATATTAAGGTCCAAAACATAGATCTTCGTGCGTCCCAGATTTGGGTGTGGGTGTGGGTGTAGGTATGGGTGTGGGTGTGTGTTGGTGTGGGGCGTGGGTGTGGGTGTGTGTTGGTGGGTGGGTGTGGGTGCGTGGGTGCGTGTAGATGGGTGGGTGCGTGTGGGTGGGTGGGTGGGTGCGTGTGGGTGGGTGGGTGCGGGTGTAAATGTGAGACAAAAAGATAATACACATGCACAACCACACCCACACATCCACACCCACACTCCACGCCACACCCTACCCGCACCCGCATCCACACCCACTATGGGTGGAGTGTGAGTGTGGGTGTAGGTTTGGTTCTTCTCTTTTCATACTCACATCTACACCCACACCCACAGCCCACACTCATACTCACACCACATACCCACACCCACACCCATCATTCTTTGCTCTGTGGAAGCAGTCTTTGAAGAACCGGACTCTTGAGTCCACATTTTGCATAGAACATTGTGCTCTTGATAATACTGTATATGAATCCATCCTTGAATAACAATCGTCACGTATAATGATACAACTGGACAGCATTTGATCAAAGTCAATTGATGTTCACTAAAAATAGTCGTATATGCTGCTGAATATGGTGAAAGATAACTCTTTCGAAGATCCGAAGAAGAAGAGAACAACGAAATCATAACTGGCGACTATATAGAGAACAATGCTTGTTTAATAATTCACAAAGGATAGATAAGAACAATAACATGGGCCCTTGTGATACGCTTATCTATACCATGTTTCTTTCTTTTTCGGTTGCTGCTGTGTTGCTCTTAAGCATTTTAAACCCCATTAACCATCGTCAACCACGTCATTTTACTAGCAAGTTTATCAAGAATAATGACCGAATCGAAACAAAATCAGTTTGCGAAGTCCGATCGATCTTTCCAACATCGACGAACCATAATCGAGGACTCCCTTTTGTTACATAGTTTCGAAGACATTTTTCTCGTATGGTTGGATGCAAATATCGATCAAAATGATGACTGCATTGAAACAGAAGTCAAACTGCGCGGACGGTTCAAAAGCTGCCTAAAAACATTTACCGATGTCGATGAATGTGTAAATTATCTTCGATCAGGTACATCCGACGACAGTCGAATTATTCTCATTGTTTCCGGCTCGCTTGGATCAAAATTACTTCAGCAAGTTCATGATTTGCACTCAATCATTTTAAGTTATATATTCTGCTGGAATGAAGTTTTGCATAGTGATTGGGTCGAAAAGTTTAGTAAGGTTAAAGGAATATTCACTGACAAAATGGCACTTCTTGAGCAACTATCTAGTGACTTTACGCGTTATTCAGTTCAACAAACGCCAATTCATATTTTGTCTGCAGACAAAAAGCAGCAATCGATTCACGATTTGAACAGTCAGACAGCTTCATTTATATGGTTTAGTTTAATTCTACGGATTGTTTTATCATTACAGGACAACCGAAATAGTGAAGCTAAGAATGATTTCGTTGATATTTGTCGACAATTTTACACGGGTGACGAAATCGAACAGGAGAGAATAAGCGACTTTGAAAAAAACTACACTGCCGGACAAGGAAAAGCGATTTACTGGTATACGAGCGATAACTTTCTCTATCGCTGTTTAAATCGAGCTTTTCGTACCGGTGATATCGACATCATGTACCGATTTCGATATATCATAGCAGAACTGCACCATCAATTGGCCAGTTTACCCCGTCCGACGAGTGATAAACTCATTGTCTATCGTGGACAATATATCAGTATCAAAGAATTACAGATTATACAGAGAAAAAATAACGACGGAAATGAATATATTTCTATGCACACATTTCTCTCTACTACGACCACCTGTATACAAGCAAGCGGCTTTGCGCAAATTGGCATGAGAGACATCCCATTGGGTCTTGAACGGGTTGTATTTGCCATCACTGTGAAAGATACACGAATACCATTCGCTCGTATCGATAACCTTAGCTCCATACCCAAAGAAAATGAAATTTTATTCTCAGTCGGAACTATTTTTCATATTG